CGCCGCCCGCCGCCTGCCCGGCCGGCCCCCTCCCTGGCACGCAGGGCTCCGGCCCACGTCGGCCCCGCCTCCGCCTGCGCCCGCGCCCGCGCCCCGGCCGCCGCCGCTGCGTCCTCCGCGGCGCTTCCCAGCGCGCCAGATCCCGGGGAATTGCGCCAGGCCCCGCCCCGCGCCTGCCTCTGGGCTTCCTGGGACTTGTAGTCCGCGCCGCGTCGGAGCCCGCCGGGCCGCGGGAGGGGTGCGCTGGGCTCTCCGGCCCACGCGCGGAGCTGCACGCGGGGCGAGGGCGCGGACCCTCCCGCCGGCCGGACCCCGCGCGGCGCTCGGGAGGCGGTGCGCGAGTCGCCCGCCCGCGTTTTCGTCCGTTTCCGGGCGGCTGGCTCAGGGAGCCCCTGTGACTGGCCAGTGTCCTGCGACCTCTCCTCGGTGGCGGGGTCCCCCCTCCCCCATTTGTTCACTTTCGGCCTCCTTTTCAGAAAGTGGCACGCGCGCTTCCTCTTAGCAAATTAAATTTCTTCCCGAAGGCGAAGAGCCCCCTGAGCTCATGTGGCGTGGGGCTTCACACTCCACGAGTGAACTGAAGTTGAGACAGGGGCGCAAGGTGCGACAAAATGCCACGGAGGCTTCCTAGGCATCCTTTCCTATTAAAAAAAACAAAAACAAAACCCTAAGCTGTGGATCTCAAGCTGCTGCGTCCTGAGCGCCGCCGCCTGCTCCGCGGGGGTCCAGAGACCCCTGCCCGCCCCACGCCGATCCCCGCGCGAGCTCAGCCCCGGGGCCCCGCAGAGCCGGACCGCACTGCAGCAGCCGCCCAGCGCTGAGGCCCATCCCGCAGCCTGGGGGCGAACGGGACTGGCGGATTTACGGAAGCACCAGGGTGGCCACCAGGGCCCTGGTTTGTGCGCACTGGCCGAGTTCCTGCCCCAGCCATCACAGTGGTCTTTCTTTTTTTAACTTCAGAATATTACAGGGGTACAAACCGAACAGACAACCTATAGAATGGGAGAGAATACTTGCATGTTACACATCCGATAGAGGGCTGATAACTAGACTCTATATGTTAATAGAACCCAGGAAAATCAACAAGAAAAAAATCAAACAGCCCCATTAAAAAGTGGGCAAAGGACATGAACAGAGTGGTCTTTTTGAAACGACTCGGGGCATCTCTGTTTAAAGCCTGCTGAGTCTTCACCTGGTTCTCATGCAGCTTGCTTATGGCCTAGACTCTGGAATCCAGCCTCGTCGAGTTCCTGCCTCTGTCTGGGGTCTGCAATTTCCCAGAGAGATGTGCTGACATTTTTATAATAACATTCTGGGCCTCTCCTCACATCCTCCTTCACACACAGGCATCCCGTGATATCCTCTGGCTTTACACTTGTAAGTAACTGCAGTGACCGAGATGCAGGCAGGTGGCCTCATTTTACGTGACCTATTAGCAACAGCTGATCACTCCTCCTCCTTGAAACCCCTTCTTCTCCCGGGGGCTGGGATAACGTGTTCACCAGGTCCTCCAGCTCCGCTTTTGGCTTCTCAGTCTCTTTTGTGGTTCCGTCCTACCCCCCTAACCTCTCACTACAGAGGTCCCCGGGCTCATCGTTTGCCCTCTTGTCTTTGCTATCTGCTGTGATCTTCTCTGTCCTATGGCTTTGAATATCATATTCAGGTTAATAAACCTCAAATTTCTATCTGCAGCCCAGACCTCATGCCTGAGTACCCATTTCATACCCACCTGCCTTCTTTACATCTCCTCCTGGATGCCCAGCTGTGATTTACATCCAGCAGTCTCAGGCTGAACTCCTGCTGTCCACTTCGCCTGCCTCTCCTGAATGTCTTCTCCATCCCAGTTATGGACAACTTCAGGCCTCCATTTGCTTGGGCTGAAAATCTGGTGCCATCCTTTTTGCCTCTCATTCTGTTGTATCTGAAATAATGTCAGCCCCACCTTCAAAAGATCCGGAATCCCAGGACTTCTCACCCCTCTACCCCTGGGTCTTTTCTGGATAACTGATCTAACAATTGATCTGTCCCTTCCTACTTATTCTATTCTCAATAAGGCAGCCCTGGTGACACTTACAAGACATATGTCAGGGCATGTCATGCCACCACTCAAAACCCTACAATGATTCCCATCTCATCTGGCCTCAGGCATAAGCTCCTATCAAGAGCTGTGCAGGGTCTCAGCTTTCCCCCTCCTTGTAAGCTAGCAAGTTAGCCTGTCACAATTTCATGGATGCTGGCAGAAGTCAGGAGACTCCTGGGTCAGAAACAAAGGACTTTATTATTCATAGCAGTAACAGAAGCCCAAGTAACAGCATTTTCATGCACCAGTTCACCGAGCCCCAATTCCTACAGGACAACGTTAGGCCCAGGTAAAATCTGTACTTGGAGTAGGTTGCCCTACAGGAGAGGAACTCTGAGCTTAGAGAGCTGAAATCTTTCATGAGAGTGTCTGCCCTTACCTGTGGCAGGAGACACTATCTCTGTCTTCCGAGGCTGTTTGCTCTACACACATGCTTGGGAAGATAGCCCAGAACGAAGGCAGCCAGTGCCTCTGCTCACAGGTGTGCAGAAGCGGGAGGGACCAGTGTAGGTTTACCTTTCACAACTCCCGGTACTGTGTTAATCAGCTCTGGCTGCTATAACTGGATTCCACAGACTGTGTGTGGCTTGAACAACAGAAATAACCTTCTCACAATGCTGGAGGCTGGAAGTCCAAGAGCAAGGTTTCGACAGAGATGGTGTCTTTTCCTTGGCTTGTAGATGGCCGTCTTCTCATTGTGTCCTCATGTGGTCTTTCCCCTGTGTGTATCTGTGTCCTGATTACCTCTTATAGACAGCAGTCCCCAACCTTTTTGGCACCAGGGACTGGTTTCATGAAAGACAATTTTTCCACAGACAGGGTGGATGGGAGGGGATGGTTTGGGGATTATTCAATCGTATTACATTTATTGTGCATTTTATTTCTATTATTATTACATTGTAATACATGATGAAACAATTATGCAACTCACCATAATGCAGAATCAGTGGGAACCCTGAGCTTGTTGTCTCCCATCTGGGGGTGATGGGAGACAGTGACACCCAAAATGTGTTGCTTACCCCCATAATATGCTGAAATAAAAAAAAAAATGTGTTGCTTATGTCCAGTCTACTCCGTAGTCTCGTTTTGGTTGTTGTCACTGCAGAAAACCCTGCTTCACAAAGATAGGACGTTAGAAATGGAAGCAGGCTTTTCAGTGCTTTTGTGGCAATCTAGGGATGTTCTGCTGCCTTGACTTTAATCCAGAACATATAGAGATTTGAAGTTGTCCCAAACACACTTTTAAGGCCACTGTCATTTGCAGTCTCAAGCAGTTGATCCTCTTCTAGCAAGGACAAAGTTGATTCACCTGGCTTATTCACAAATGGGTCACACATCATTCCTTTCCAGTTCAGGGTCTTTTGTGGTAGGGAAGTAATGCTCAAACTCTTTGGAAAGCTGAGATGATGATCATGCACCAGCTGGGAGAAAGAAGGCCCTGGCTCAGTCTCTCTCAAAATCTCTGCTAATGTTTGAAACCTGTCAAAAATCCCAATGTTCACTCTTTGCCCCCGTAATTCCAGTTTGGCTTTGAATGCAGCCACTTTATCTGCTGACTTGAACACAGTTGTCATTCTCCCCTGAAGTAAGTGACAGATTGAGTTCGCTGAGCAGGTTGAATGTGTCACACAAGTAAGCAAGTTTTGCGACCTATTCTGTGTCCCTGAAATGTGCTGCCAGTGATGACTTTTTTCTAAAAGAATCTCTGGGGCGGCTCTCATAACTCAATACCGCTGGCCAGTGATCTGCCTTTAGAAAGCCGTCTCGCTTTTGTGTATAAGAGAAGACCTGCGCTCTGCGTCCGTCTCCTCACAGAGCTGCACAACAGACGTGAGTGAAGGGCATGTACTTTAATGTGGTTGATAATTTTAATCACATCCTGCAAAACGTTTTTTAGTTCAGGTGAGATTTTTCGCCTAGCCAGCATTTGTCTATGGATGACACAGTGTGTAGACTCACATTCAGAAGCAACCTCCTTGACCTGAGCGCTGAAACCAGAAAGCCGCTCCGTCCGTGCATATACCGACACAAAAATGAGCAATTCGGGGTTCCTGATATGTCATCATTCAAAGACTTGAATGGTTCTGCGGCCGTGGTGTTGGTTGGTGACAAAAGTGCAAATAATATATCCTCACGCACATCCTCCTGAAAAATATATCGCACAAAAACAAGCATTGTTGCCTTGTTGTCAACATCAGTAGACTCGTCAACCTGGATTGTGAACCACGGTGACTCATTAATCCTCTCTACCAATTGTGCCTCAGTACCCTCTGCTATTTCATCAATTCATCTAGTTATGGTGCCAGCCGAAAGAGGAACATGTGCTCCCTTTTGAACTGCAGCCTCTTCTAAAAGTTCATGGCAAATGTCCTTAGCAGCAGGCAG